GGGGGGGGGGGGGGGGGGTCGTAAGAGAGAGGATTGTGGGAAGGGAGAGAGGTTACGGTTTGAGAGTCAAGGAGAGAGCGAGAGACGCATACATACCAAGTAACGCGATAGAACGGGAGGAGTCTGGCTGCTAGGTTGGCTGCCTGTTCGCTTTGCTGCTCGCTTACTTGCCTGCCTGTCAAGCAACGCTGGGTGACCCCATGTCGTTCACTACGAGTTGGCGGTTTTTGCCTGGGATCCCTTTCCCGTCTCATCTTTCGTAACGTCTTATTGCGCTCATCGGGCAGCTGATTTCACATGTCGACTAATGATACCTGATGACTTTTATGGGTTAGATAATTTTGAGAAAAATTTTTTTTAGGTTGGCTCTTTTTTTTCGGTACCGACTCGTTTGCAACGAGTAGCTCTGTAGCTCTCTTCGTGGCAGTGGTGGAAGGACTAGCCTTGTCGCGTTCCTTACTCGAGTTCCTTTCGTCCGCATTCTCACCGCGCGACTATCCCACAGGCGGCGTTGCATATTTGTCGCTGATCTTTCTGGCTCTGTAACTGCGCTTGGTCGCGGCGTTGAGAGCAGCCTTGAGGGTACGTTCTCGGGCGGGTATCTTTGTATGCCTGACTGGGAGGGGATACTTGGACTAGGCTTTACAGCGTTCGGGGTATAATACGGGTCAGGACTTTTTGAGGAAGGAAGATCGTTTAATAGAAATCCGGTTTAAGGAAAGACGCCAAGCTCTTGGCTGATCCATAAATACGCGTGGGAACGGTTCGGGGCTTTTAGATTTTGGAGTCTTAACCAGATGGCGAGTAAGAGATTTAAACTTGCGCCGGCTTGGGGTGCTTTGGTCATTTAAGGCGCAATCGCAAGATATGATTTTGACGTCGGCTTCGATATTCAGGAAGACCTGGGGGAAACTACTGTGCCGGGGTGTGGAAACGGTCGACGGTCTTGAGACTCCTTTTAATGGAAATCAAGAATAAGGCTGTACTGCGGTTTTCGAAGGTTACGGTTTCAGGCTGATACGCATTGTACGCGATGACGGTAGGAGAAGATAGAAAAAGGTAGAATAATTTAGTCAGGAATGGGACTGTACCCGGAACAAGGAAAATATATGAGATGACGAAAGGAAAACAACAAAAAAAAAATACAAAAACTAAAGACACAGTGTATATGCGGTTTTACGGATTCCTGTCTCTTACTTCCTGCAACGTCCACTTTGTGGACTCTTCTTGATGCTGCCGGCAGGGTCGACTTACAACGGCGCTTCTTTAGACCTTCTTATCTTCAGCTCATCCGCGGTGAACTTGTTTTTGCAGGTGTATTAGAGAACGAGCGACTGTCGCCACATGAGCTCTCTCCTCGGGATACTCAATGGCATTATTTCCAACTAGTTACACAATTTTCACGTACGAGGTCAACTGATACCTTATCTTTACAAAAAAATTTCAAAATTACTCATTTCTCATTATCGCTAGCTGTCATCGACATAAATATTCTTTTTCCTCCATTCTCATCATCAATATGGTACAGTGTATTAAAAAGTGCTCGTATCAGTAATCCAAGGATGCTATGTACACACGCATTAAAAATTTTACTCCCGAGAGCCGTAAATTTTTCCCTAGAAACCTCATATTAGCTTCCTGCACCAAGAGAATACGTAACGCGATAGCGAAAAGAAAAAGAAGCTTTACACGTTTCTATGTAGCTACGTATATACGTACACCGGTACCAAATACCTAAACACGTAGGATGACTGGTAGTAGGTTGGTTGCCACGTAGCTACCTACCCAACTATCCGGCTACGTACACCAAAGTAAGGTACCAGGTAGGTAAGTCACCTACCTCTGTACATCCTTTCCAGTAAAGCAAGCTGGGGATTTCGCGACGGAGATTACCAGCGCTACTGCCACTAGACACTACGGTCCCTCCAGTTAAAACTTTTAAACCGGATTATTCCGCGAATATAGTACTCCTGCATGCCGGGATAATAACTCCACACCCTTGGCTTACCACCGCTATGCATATTGCATTCACTAGTGCCACCGACCAATGACCACTTGGCCAGTTAACTTTGAGCTATGAAGTCATCAGGTCTAGCTGCTACTTCTTGCCGCGTCACTCGCAACTGCATCACACGAGTAATTTGAACGTCGAATTCATTTAAAACTGCATAACGATGCAACTGCATTCCCTCGCCTTCAGCTTACTCCACGCCAATGCATCCGATCGATCAGCCTGCTGACGATTTATTGAAAGACGACAGTGGCGTCGACTTGGACAGACCCAGGACGTTCAAGTAGATACGTCCAGGGCAAGACAGACTCACTACGTGGGATGGACGTAAGGTGCATCCTAGTTGAGAATCCAGTGCACTGCGTTGAACACTTGCTGGTGAGAGGAGGTTCCTTGTATATATATTATACATATATATAATGCTACCTACGATGAGGATGGGGGCGGAGGAGTTCAGCAACCGGAGCCTCGCACGACTCGAATGCCAGGTCCTCTTCTTCGCGTTCCGCAGCTCCGAGTCCTCGCGCTCTCTCTCTCTGTCTGACGTGTTAGTTACGCCACTTTGTGATTCCGATCAAGGACGTTGCACGTTTAAAAATTTTTTGTATCGTTTATTTTATGTGTTCGATCTGTAAATTAATTTATCGATGTTATTGGACAATCAGATCTTACATTGATACATAGTTATTGTCGTGTTAGTTATATGACCGTAAAATATTTATGGAGTCGGTATCAAGTCTGGTTCACAGACCTTACCAGTTGTGTATATCGTAAAAGTCCTACCGAGGTGTATTATTAGGTTAGAATTCAATTGATGTTGCAACGTTATCAATCGAATAATAATAATAGTAGAGAATTAAAAAAAATATTTTTCACAAAAAATATAACTCATCCCCAGAACAATCCTAATCTGTCAGACTGTCAAAATTCATACGTATCGTTCCCCATGGAATTGCAATGGCCCGTAAATCCTGTTAATGATTTCATCAGTGAACGCCCAGAGCCAATGTTAACCGGGAAGACACGTGCTACGCAGACGTCATACACAGGAGTTGCCTCCAGGGGTAACTGTTGTTTTGATATACATATGTTAATTATCCAAAAGACCTTTTCTACGTACATCGACCACCTCTCATAACTATAATATTAAGCTCACCCACACTTCCGCACTATCAGTATGCAGAAACGCGGACGATTATGAGCATCCCTTGAAAGAACTTGAATCGCCATCAGTTACGGGTACCTTTTACCCCAGCACGTGGACCTTATCAGTAGATAACCCCGTAGGAACCAGCCAGAGCTGGCGGTCGTATTTCCATGGCAAAAGGATGAGAGGTCGCAGAATACGTAAGAGGCACGGGGACAGCATGGTCCACGCTAATTAACGTAATGAAGATGGGTCCTTGCGGCAGGTGCACGGCGACGCTGTCGCGCATGTAAATAGGCGTCGTTAATGACGTGCTTGATGACGTCAGTGTGGACCTGGCTCGGTTCAGTGTAGAGATGACGATGGTCTGGTCACTCGACGTAATTATCTACTTTGATCATGAGATGTTTTTGCTTATTGATACATATCTGTAAACTTCATCTGGATCCTTGGTAAACGTCAGATCATCTGGATCCGATAATCCTGAGGATCTGATGATCCAGACCTGCACCAAGCTGGCTAATGGCGATTCTAGGATATCTATTATGGGACCTTGTGACACTTTTCTATAACCTCGAGTCTCGGATAACACGTGTAATATGACTGTGTGCTCCACTGAGATCACTCCCAGCATCCCGATCTTCATCTCGACTGCCACCATATACGTGACTAGACGCTGGTCTTCTCGGATGTAAAGACGTATAGGCGTTCAAGGTGAGACGAAAATTTCAATGACTTCGTCATGCTCCGTAACTTCTGGTATATCATACATGCGAAATCATCTTAGTCAATGTGCAAATTGCGCGATTGATCAATGACTCCTTTCATGAATTCCTCCTCCTTCATTTGGTACCACGTGGATACTAATCTTGCGTACAGCGAGCCGCGTCAGGTAAATGAATGAATGTGAGACCTATTTTTTTTTGTTTTGACAAAAAAGAAGCTAAGGGTTGAATATTGGGTATTTACGTAGTCGATAGTCTCGTGGCAGATTACGACGATTCCATTGTCCAGGTCATAGGTCAACCGCGGTACATGAACAGCGTGCCTGCTACGTTGGTCGACGGAATAAAATATTGGAGAACAGTAGCCATTTTGTATTATTACCTACGATATACTAGCGACAGGACAATAGTCGCCACTTGTTGAATGTTTTTTTTAGATACGAAATTCCTGCCCGCCCGTAGCGCAACTCCCGGAGTTGCTGCTCTTTGTTGCTACCAGGTAGCGTGTCTCGCGGAATCTGATCTCAGCTTCCTTCCTGTATGTAGGCGCACGTACCGCGGTATTTCTATATATACTTGTATACGTACCTGACGTAATACCTCATTTAACGGTATCAAAATACCTATAGAAAAATGTTTTTGTTCACCCGGTATTACTTGTCTGAATCCAGTACCAGTGTATCTACTGATCTGGTAAATGAGTGTCCAGCTCTTTCGCGTCTGACTGATCCACTAGAGTCCATGCATAATAAAATAATGGTATCGGACGACACGTGTCGTCGATCTCGAACAGGGACGATGCCACGATGACCTCACTGATCCATATAGTAGCAGGCTTGGCCTTGTTGTCACCTCGACCGTGCAGAATATCAAGTCAGGCAATTTGCAAACTCCGCCATCTTGACGTCCGTACACAATGCGCGATGACGAGTTTCTATTTCTTGATTCGCTGCTGCCTACTCGGTGTACCATGAAAATAATTTCTTTTTCTCGTCGTATAACGTACCTATGAAAGGCATTTTTCGAATTTCAGGTTTCAGCGGGTCAACATATGCAGCTCACCGGTGACTTGAAACCAGGAGTTTCCGTGGCCGCTCAACAGGGCATGTACTTCAATCAGCAACAAGCTCAAAACCAGTCGGGTCCCGGAGGTCAGACCGATACGTATTGTTCGGTCTCCCAGTCGCAGACCATCAACTTCACTCAACAGAGTCTACGGCAGAGGGCAGCTGCAGGTGGGGGTGTTCCTCAACCTGGTCCAGCCACCGGAGCACGTGGTCATCCTCAGCAAGGCCCACCTGGTCAGGTTGATCAACATCAACATGCCAAATTGCTACAGCAACAGCAGATGATGCGTGCGCAGCAGGTAAGGTTCAAAGATATATTTTTCCTATTGGTGATACGTCAGTGGTATTCGATCTATCGATTGTCGATTGTTGAACAATTATTGGAACATTTTTTTTTTAAGACGATGCTAATAACGTCTATGATAGCTTATCGCCCGTGTTATCCAAACCATTAAGTTATATGGTAGGCGTCGTCGTCGAGGCGCGTAAACGCAACAGGTCTCTTCTCAGTCCCGAGGAACTTTTGTTCCATTCGGAGTGAAGGAAGCGCCGGATGGCGGAGGAACTTCTTAGG